AATTATTTAATTATTCAAATTAAGAATGTTTAATGACAATCCAGGGTAAAAAATGAAACTTTTATTTTTAAAATGGCAAAGGTATCAACCAGTGTCATTTGAATTAACAGATGTAACCAAATTAAAAAGTTCCATTTCACGATTCGGTCACGGTGCCTTAAAAGGTATCAAAGCCAAGTGGCATCTCGGTCTTAAGAAAAACACATTTGCTCATATTTTATGTGGATGCCATTAAAATTCTCCATGTATTGGAGACACGTACGTGAGGCGCCAGCGGGGAACCTGTCTAGACTAGACTTGATCACAGTACATACAGATACATTTTTAGATTCATTTATTCGATATATGTGCATCTAATCGAGCTCTGATTGCAAGTATCCACATTATTATAAATAATAATCTAGAATTCTATCTGATGGAGAGGTCAAGAGTCTCCAGGCCAGGCCAGGCGTGCATGCATGAGACGTGTTATGAAAGTAGACGAAACCAGCGATGTATGTAAATCTTTACTGCACGGTTCACTCTGCCCACCTCGTAAGGATAAAGACAGCGTGAGTAGAAATATATCTGTAGGAACTTTGTATTAGTCGTACATTGTGTTCGACAGTAATTAAAAACAAAAAAAAAATAAAAAAAACATCATCAAAACATCTATATTGACAAAAATAATATGGAACCAATACAGAAGTAGGTAAACCATTAATCAAGTATCAAATACCAACTAAAAAAGTATACATATTTATAAATATACAATATTTATTTATTTCATGATCGGGATTTAACGCAACGCGATTACAGGTAAATAGTATCTACATAGATGCATAATTTTTATTGCCAACGTTTCAAACCGACGGAAAAGTTTGAAATTAACTAAACAATATTTTTTCATAAGAATAGTAATACAGCAAGTGGTTGACTGTAAAAGATCCTTTTGTTTAAATTTTCGATTTATTTTTTTATTTTACACAATTTACAATAATATAATAATTGTAAATTATGTAACATTAAAAAATATATATATTTTCGCTTCATACATTTTGAATATATTAAAAACATTTTGTATATTAAATGCGAGCGCATTCCGAATTCGGACTTCAAAGTAAATTGCAAAATATTTGCCGACAATAAATAAAAATATTTAATTGGATGTCCCCAAAAATCGTTTATGATTATTATCATCAATTTTATCGTTTGCAAAATTAAGGATAATTAATATTTTTGTGAAAACACCGCATCACTTGCAATCCTTTCAAGAAGTCTGTATACCCAATTTGTCGCATCGCGAACCATCCCCGCTTTGCATTTTCCGTTGAAACTTGCACAATAAATCTTGTAGCGTGGTGATAAAGATTTAAATTGCACGAAATTACATTTTCTAAGTGCAATTGTAAATTTGCAAGAGTATAACGGTACACGTCGCCTGCACCAAGTATGGAACGGTCATGACATGCGATTTGTTGCAGTTTACTCTCGGCCCGATATCCGCGTTCTTTCGATCTTGTATTCATCGTTTTAAAAAACAAATAATCAATTTATATGGTACATGATAAATTAGCTATTTTGTATAATAAAGTAATCGATGACCAAAAAATATCATGGTCATTTTAAATATTATATGCTAACAACTTCCCAAAACTCTTCGGCAAATTAGACACCATTTATTTATCATGTCTCCAAACTTATATAAAAAAATAACTCGTACGTACGTAAACGTCTATTCTCCAATTCGTAGATAAATCTGTTTATTAATTTAAATTGTCTGAGATAATTAATTTTATATAATAGAGACTCAATATTCTCATATAATTTATTTCTGCTTCTTTTTAATCTGTTATTTTATTTAAAAAGTGAAAGAAAGTATTGAACACTTGTGACACATTGTAAAGTACAAATTAAAATCGGTTAGATCTTTTGAATCTAATCGATTTTTATTAATTCACACTTTATTTCCATGTTTTATATTTTTCTAAACCGGATAAAGGCTATTTTATTTGCTTGTTTACGTAATTAAACATATTAAAAGTAAATATAACCCTATTACCTTCTAATTCACCATACATTCGAATAACAATATTCATACCATAATCGCTTTGTCACTGTACATTAATATCGAATTATTAATCGGCTCCTATCATTACGAATCTATTTAATATCGTTATAATCTCGTTTAATCTGTACAGCTGTCGACTTAAATTATAATAATGTCTGTTATTCTATTCGTCATATCAAACAACTTTATTATGAAATTTTTAACCAATATTCAGTTTTATTAAATTTGCCATTTTATGGTATCATAATAAAATGGCTGTTTTTTTTTACAACTTTTAATTTCGTTGATATTTTTAAAATAGACTTTTTAATTATAGTAATATAATTTAACTAGTTGAGCTCACGCCTTTTCCCGCGTGAATGTAACAACATTGGTCTATATCCATCTTCGCGCCGAATATGATGTGTATGCCATTTTTCATTTAACTGTTGTTAAGGCACCAAGAGGTAGTTAACAGATAAGCAAACAAACTAATTTTCATATTTATTCGTATATTACTTGTAGCATCGTATAAGTAATATTACTATAGTAATCATAGTAAGGAAATAAGGATTGTTCGTTTACTGTCCGCCTACTAGAATTTTTATGTATGTATATTTGTACTTATATTATTTGAATATGTATAACCAATACCTATTTCAACTATCTATCTACAGTTACGAGTAATACTTATTATATGAAAAATAAGAAATTAATTTATTATATTATATTTTCGGGCGTCTTTGCTGGAATGCGTCGCAAGTTCTCTGACTTTATAAGTCCAAAGTATTCAGCAGCCGTATTATGAACTCTTATTTCCAGGCAGATTACGGCGTAAATTGAACTGCCTTGCTAATTCATATTATGAACGCTACAAACCAGCCAGTCAGCGGTCACGTGACAGTTGAGCGACATCTGCCCGTATTTTGGCTGGTTATTTCGTATTACGAGCTCCTGATTTGACATTTCTACGCGTCATTTGACTATTTAAAACTTGTTTACAAACCATTCAGTTTACGGCGTCTTCAAGTGCCTTTTTTTGAATTGTTTTGTGTGTTTTCTAGATATGAAAGACTTATTTGTATTCAGTTTGCATTGATTTGAAGTGTTTTTTTTTTTGTTTCTAATTTATTAAGTTTGTGTGTTCAAGTTTGTTAAGTGTTTGTAGTTCAGTATGTCTGATGAAGGTGAAATTTTAGAATTTTTGGAAATGGACGCTATGTATGAAGCAGAACAGCGAAAAATTAAAAGAAGACGATTGCGAGACCAATCCAATCCCTTTGATATTGACGATGAGCAATTTATAAAACGATATCGTCTTAGCAAAGGTTTGGTATACAGTCTCTGCGATGAGCTTAGGCCTCATATGGCAGGATCATCAAAGTCCACAGATTTGACATTGGAGACTAAGGTTACACTTTTACCTTATTATGATGATATTGTCATTAATATATTTTCTTAAATTAACTGTGACTTAGTTGACTGTCAACTTTTTTCTATTTTAGGTTTTGGTAGCATTGTCGTTTTTCGCAACGGGCTCTTATCAACGCCCAATTGGCGATATTGCTGGCCATTCTATCGCCCAACCTACAGTTTCTATAATAATAAAACAAATTACAAAATTATTAAATTTGCCTGAAATACAGGCAAAATATATTAAATTTCCGAGGACGTCAGAGGAGCGAAGAGCTAACATCATAAGGTATTTTTTTATTATATTATTAATAAAGTATTAACCTCCACAAAAATAACTAAGATTTATTAATACAAGCTATTCCTTCTATCCATTATTACTGAACACATCTCTTTTATAATAATAGCTTTTCTTATAAACATACTAGAAAATATTTTGTAATGAAAAAAGTATTTTCAAAAGGAATTATTAAAGAATGAACCTAATAATTTGTTATAGATTTTATAATAAATTTGGAATGCCAGGAGTGTTGGGGTGTATCGATTGTACACATGTTGCAATTGTACGCCCAACTGAGAACGAGGAGAGATACTACTGTAGAAAACAGTATCATTCGCTAAATGTACAGTTGGTATGTTAATTTATTATGTTTGATGCTTGTTGATTTCAATTACACTACATTAAATTTTATACACACCAATATTTAATTTTGTGATTATATATAAATGTACTAAATTAATTCATATGAGCTTTATTACATTTATAAAACAAAAATTAAAATTTACAGTTATGTTAAATATACATTATACTAACTTATAAAACACATTAAACAATAATTTTATTATTAATACATATAATTTACATCACACTTATAATTAAATATTTGACTAATATACTTATTTCATATACAATTTTAATAACTTAAGATTTATGTTCTTCTGTCATGTTATTAATCTGAAAAAAAAAAAAAAATTTAGATTAGTAATGCTGACATGGAAATTATAAGTGTGGATGCCAGCTATGGAGGAGCTACTCATGACTCCTTCATTTGGACAAATCATCCCCTAAGACAGCATTTAGAACAGTTAAGCAGAAATGAGTCCATTTGGTTACTTGGTGAGAATTGATTTGTATTATAAAAATATTAAAATTGTGTTTACTCATTACTGATTTTAGAACTTTAATACTTTTTGTAAAGATTTTTTTTTTTTTTTTTTGTATTATTAACATGCTACTTTTATTTTTAGGTGATTCAGGATATGCTCTTAGAAAGTATATGATGACTCCCATTACAAATACTGTCCCAGGGTCACAAGAAGCACATTACACCAGTGTACATGTGAGGACAAGAAATGTGATTGAGAGGACAATTGGACTCTTGAAAGCTAGATTCCGTTGCCTGCTTGTACACAGAGTACTTCATTATGCCCCTGAGGTGGCAGCATCTATAGTGAATGCTTGTGTGGTATTGCATAATATGACAGTAAAGTCTAATATACCAGCACCGACACTCACTGATGAAGATGCTACATCAGAGGGCACAATGCAGCTCCATCATGCTCACCATGATCTGTCTCAGTCTTCAAGTGTAGAATTAAATGAAGGTTTAGCTGCCAGGCGCGCCCTCGTTTCTCGCCTCTGGAGTTCTCGAGCTTCTACAAATTAAAAAAAAAATATAGATTACTCTGAGAAGTAGACATTAGGCATTTTAGTTCTTAGCATATTTATTAATTTCTTTTTTATTTCATTTATAGAATGAACATTAATTTTAAATGTTTTATATAAATAGTTTATTACTTCTAATTGCATTTTTAATATAATTATATTACTCTGATAAAAAGTCTATTTATATTCATAGAATTTTAGTTGATATAACAAAACAGAAATATTGTTTGAGTTTGTATATTTCTACTGTATGTTCTCCATAAATTTGTAATAAACACCAAATATTCTCTTAGATATATTATATAAAATATGGAAAAAGTAATATAAGATATTAAAAAAAAAAAATTATACAATGAAAATACTGAAATAATGTTGTTGTTTTACCTGTTAATTGATTCAGCTATCCTATTTAATGTATTGAGCATTTGCTCCATAATAGCTGTCTGTCTTCTTTGTTCTTCTAGTCGTGACCTTGCAACATCTATTAAAGCATTCCTTGCTGCCTCCATGCTAACAGTTCTCTGTTGTCTTGGTCTACGACGTGTCGGGCGAGACGGAGGGGCTTCTGTAGGAACTTCTTCTATTTGAGGATGTGGAAGCTCTTCAGTTCCTGTGTTTTGTGTATCTATAGTTGTTATATGTATGTCTCCTCTGGACTCTGACTCTGATGCAGTGATCTCAATCATTACTGCATCAGAGTCGGTGTCCAGAGGTTCTGATCTCAATGCAGTGCCACTAGTACTTGGTATCTGAAAATAATATAAATTTATTTTCATTTCTATGCAATTTATTCTATATATAATTATAATATTGAATAATTTATGGTAATTTCGGTCAGGGTCATATGTTAATAAAGGAAACTATTATTGTAATTGTATTTCTTAACCCTTAAATACATGAAGTTTCAAATTTGATACCGGTATTATAAATCATATTGGGCGCCTACAATCGATTTTATTTTAATATTTGGCTGTTTACATGTTACCAGTTTTTTTCAAAATAAAAATATAAAAATATCGTTTTGAATTTTTTTTACTATTTTTCCCCATTAGTAAACACAGTAAAGGATACACTTATATTTTTTTAATTTGATTTAAAAAATCAGGCTTTTAAGGGTTAAATATTGTTAATTAATTAAGATAGTATGCTTCCAAATGAAATAAATAAAATATCAAATAGGCAGAAAGTGTCAGCCATTTAGGAGAAAGAATAAATATTTATTAGGACTTACAGATGGTAGATATGAATTAAAAGTTTACTCTCTAAAACTGATTTATGTGCATGTGATGAATCATAAAATTATATAAAACATAGAAGCCTCTGGTACTCTACTTTTCTTTACCTACTTTGCAAGAGACTTATTGTGAACACAGAATTTATATTAAAAATTCCTACAATTTACTTACGTTTGGAAATGGGTCGACTTGTACATTACTCAAGCCCGAACCGAAACCTGCCCCTAAAATGCTCAAGAACTTTTGTTCTAGTGCATCCAAGGGTGGAACATTCGAAGGTCCACCTCCAGTACGGTTTTGAGACAGACGTACTGCAGCAACTCTTCTTTTTAATTTAGCTTTATAATCCACCCAATACTGTAAATATATTTTTGATATTATATAAGTTGATTATAATTTGTTATTAAAAATTAAAAACAATAAGTTTTTGTAATACTTACATTTGACCATCCTTTCCAGTCTTTAAAAGCTCCTTCTCCCAATGAATTTAATGCTTCTGCGACTTCTTCCCACATACGTTTTGCGTATTCTCGCGCTTGGGCAGATTTATTAAAACCGACAGCCACGTCCTTATTGGAATTTAAAAATTCCCACAGAATTTCTAACTGCCGGTACGTTACGCGACGACGTGTGTGAGAATTTTCAGCAGAAGTTGATCTGCGATTTAATTAAAATAATTAAGTCTTACATTAATTTAATATAGCATTTTTTTAGCACACAATATATGTAGAAAAACACTAAAAACACTTACGCCATGATATATATTTTTCTTGTTGATAAACAAAAAATATTTTGTAAAAATTAACTGACTTCGAACTATTTGGAATGCAGCCAAGTAATGAAATAGTTTCACAGTTTCAAACTCCACTTCAAAAAATTCATATTCAAGTGGATTCGGCGCGGAATTTTAAGTGGATCAACAACGTCATGTAGCTACGTTCGAAAATGTGCACGAAATGCATTCTAAGATATAATTCGAAACGTTCAAAAAGATAACGAGAATATTTTAATTAATAACGTAAATTTATCTATCTAATAATGTATCGTAATAATTGCATTTTCGTTATATTTATTTAACCACTACCATGTCAAAACTATGTGAACATAAAAACCGTAACTTCCCGTAAAAATTCTTGTGTTGTTTCTGAACGAATGGAGTGTAAATGAATAACCAGCCATAGACAAATTATCCAGGCAGAAGTCGGATTGTTTTTTGTACGTCATAATACGAAAAAGAACAAGGCAGTTTACGGCCGTAAAGTGAATTGCCTGGAACTTGACTGGTTTTTTAAAAGTTCATAATACGACTGCAGGACTCTCACTTAACCGGTTTTTAGATTAGACACGAGCTTAGGGTCAAAAGATCACGTTATTTCGCATAACTCGAGCAGTCAATACATTACGAATCATAATGATTCGTACATATTCATAAAACTTAGAATTACTATTACTAAATAGATAGGTGTGGTGATGTAAACACTGGAAATGTAATAAAATTCTTGTTTACATGTTTTATTGATATTAACGGTGGAATTACTACACCCACGTAGTATTTAATGGACATTAAATCTTGTCTAATATTCCTTTCAAATTAAATTAAAATTAAATTTATATAAATTTGTCATTATACTAATAAATTAATTGTTTATAACAATAATATTATTATATGCAATTAATTTATTACAGTGAAAAGAGATAACATAAATATTAATGATGTTAAAAATTTTAAAAATTCATTTTGAGTAAATCTCCTCATAAAATATCTGATATATTAAATAGATTAAACCCCCGTACAATTTTATATACATTATGTATAATGAACGGAATGGAATGGAACAATGGAAACAAAATGGAACACCTAATTCATTTATACGAATTTAAAATTTTTATATTCTTTCTATTATGAATTTAAAAATGGAATATTTTCTTTTATATAAAATTTCTTTACCTCTAGTGATGTCGATCCTACATACAACACTAGAGTTTTATACATAATCCAAACTATAATATTTTGAGTTAAGTTTTAAAGAAGGATTTAACACACTTCTGTTACTGGCCACATATGTAGATGTCATTCTTTTTTATAATTGCCTCGTCTAATTTGATCACATTTCCTTTATAAGTACAACACTCTCTATAGTATGTAAGTCAAAATTATAGTATTAAAATTTTCCAAAACTCATAACCTTTCGAATCTGATAGCACATACCGATTTATCTTCTTACTTCATCGTTAATCAATGGAAACGTACCTGTATCTAAAGAATTGCCGATCACGTCTCAGTTTTCTTACGAACAACTCGGAACCCGATCTCATTCCAGTTTCTCCGAACACTTATGTCAGATTTTTACTTTTTTTTCTCTAATCGATTAATATTACAAACAAACGAGTTTGCTATTCTTTAACGTCGTGAATCCCGACGAATTTTTAATGAATCGAATATTTTGAAAAAGTAAAAAATTGTTTTAGTCAATAAAATACATTAATTTAATTTTATAAAACAATAAAGCTAATATAAAGAAGCGTTTATAAACAAATAAAATTCGAACATTAATATGTTAATGATTACAATTTACAATATTTAAAAAGTTGGGGCTAATATTGAAAATACAAAAATGGCCATTAATATGATAATTATTATAATATATAAAAATTGTAACAAAATTGAATTAATAATATTGTTTATAAACAACTTTTACTAATTGACACAATGTTCAGGCTCATATAATCTTATAATTAATTATAACTTGTATGAGATGGAATTCAGTGTTAAGAATATTAGAATTTTAATAGATTCTTACAGTTTCATTTATTAACTATTAACAAGAAATGCTCATGATTCCGTATCTATTACTTACAAATTATTACCCGTTAATTTTATAGTTATTCTGAATCTGAATACACGATGATGAGAACGAGTTGGTACTAATATAAAGACCATAGTCGTGACCGTCAAGTTAAAAAGCATTTTAGGCATAACGATGTGCGAAACGCATGGTAATTAATACGAATTTTGTAGCGATAAACAAAGATATACTAAATTTCATAATATAATTTTATACTTAAACTAATTCATTCGTAATTATTTTATTAATAATATAATTAACTAATTAATTCGTAATTATAAATTGCATTTATAAAGTTGCAAAAATTATTCCTATTCGGCTACTACCTTGTCCTACGATATTTTTTTTTAATATATGAATTATTTTATTTTTTCAATAGGTTTGGGGTAGATTTTCAATACGAATAGTGTTTATCAGTTTTTTTTTTCTTTAATACCTTTCATACCGAAACATGCCTAATAGGCACCTCTAAATTATCCGTTAAAGACAATTGAATAAATTGCAATATATCTGATTAATTATAAAGTGCTCTGATAGTGAACTCTGCATTCTCAATATCTATATGTTTAGAATGTACATATAGATATATAGAACAGATAATAATAACGTTTATGCGAATATGCGACATTTTACTAGCCAATTACTCACTACACATCAATATACATATAAATCTACCCTCAATAAGCTTACAATTCAACAAGCCAATTCATTGCTGCGTTTAGAGTTATTGCCAGTTATTGCTGGACAGCGCTTTGAAATGTGCCGCTCCGAAACATTCGACCCATTGAATACCTAGCAAGAATAGGTCGATAGGTGTTTCTTAAGGTAAAACGTTTATATAAATACGAATAGAACCGTTATAATCAATTTACAAATAAATGGTCATTGTTTAAAATACATTCACACGTAAACGCTAGGAACGGAATGGAACGTAGTACCTAAGCACATTGCTCGAAGTCACAAATAACTCAAATATATACAAGCGTATTATAAAATAACATAAATTTGAGTTATATGTATACTAGTTATTTCCCGTGGATTCACTCATGCTCGTATCATTATGGAGAATAGCCTGCTCAAAATATAAGCTATTAAATGCAAAAACAATGTTTCGAATCCAACTTGTATTTCCAGAGATTAGCACGTTCAATCAAACAAACAAACTCTTCCGCTATATTATATTAGTAGGTATAGAAAATAATTAAATTAACAATAGGTTAAAATCTGTTATGTACGCATTACAAATTATCTTACGGATAATGTAATTTTAAATGCTTTTTTAACAATATTTTATCTTCTATACAGCAATATCGATCAGCATATCTCATTGACTAATGGGTAGAGTTTCGTTCAAGTCACAATACCTGTTGTATTAAGTAAAAAGAACATGGCTTCTTACCAACATGTTTCTCGTATGAAAATAACATTGTACGTATTGTTTCTATGATTTGAAGAGTGAGAAATTGCTATCTATGACACAAAAGGTGTAATCTAACCGATACGTGACATACATCTGTCACTTGATGATAAGGTAACATAGCACCGTGTTTACCAACGATCTACCATAACAATTTGTACCATCGACAATAATCTATCCATAGTATATCATCTCTATTCATCTCTAGTGGGTTACTATCATATTATATATGATTATATCAAAATCAATTTATCTATTTGCTAAGCTAAACATTCCACAGCAGTATGTTAATATTTTATGTAGTTTAGATGATTATCTAATGAGATCACTTGTATCGTCCCTATAATTCTGACCCTAAAGGATATATTATACCATCAATTAAGATCGTATCTAATCAATTTAACAAATTAAACTAGTGATGCACTTCCATATTTTGTAAGTCGTTTACAATATTTTGTAGGTAGGTTAGGAATTATCGTTTAATAGATGGACATTAATCATCATCATATCAGAATAACTGTCCACTGCTGAACATAGGCCTCCTCCATGAGGGGTGCCCTGCCGATAGTTGCCACGCTTGGCAGGCGGGTTTGCAACCGCAGTTTGGTGATGTTTTAAGAAGGACGCTGTTTCTAGTCGCCTTTTCGACACCTACGGAAAAGGAAAGAGTGGTCCATTTTATGCCAAGACCACAGGACTGTACATCTCATGATTTTTTTATTTTAGTCTTTTTATATTTTTTTACAATGATTTTATATATATGATTTACTACATTCCATAAAATTAACCTTCAACTTACATGCTATTCTCAAAAATACTAATAGGATTTTCTCAGATGTCCCTAATATTCTCAAAGCTTATTGATCTTACTTACAGATACAAATTTCTTTCCCATCAATGAGTAAAAAATTAAATACGCGCCGTCAAGTTTTCCCACCGTTTATTTCATGTTTATTATGTTAAGAGCATATTATGATATTAATGGGTAATATCACAAAAATGTAAACACTTCCATAATACGACGTCCCGCAGCCTCCCGCCTCTCGAATCCCTCTACCAAATTAAGATACTCTTTTATAAGTATTGTGACACTTTCTAATATTTACATTGAGATTAGGTGGCGATAAATATTCTTATTATGTTTTTATGCATTTTAAAATACAGTCGCTTTCAGTAATTTTATAAATGCATTGGTTTTTAGAAATCTTTGGAATCAACTTCCAGCAGCAGTATTTCTGAATTGATACGACATCATAGTCGTTAAGAAAAGAGTATATTATTTTTATTTTAAAAGCAGTACACCTGCAATGACTCTGCTGTTGTAGATGATCATAGGCGGCGGTAGTCACTTAACATCAGGTGAGCCGAATTCTGTTTTGCCCCCTGTGTTATATAAAAAAAATATTAATATTATTATAAATTGACTGCATTAACAATTTCGTATTTTACTTTTGGAATAATTAGAATCGACCAGGTTAAAATATCTAACTCTGGTGTTGCTAACATGTCATCGTCACATCAGCCATTGACTATCCACTGTTGAACATAGGCTTCCCATTTGGGGAGTTTTGCCAGTAGTTAGTAGTTTGTCGATACGACAACATAACCTTCAAGGAAAGAGTATATTCCTTTTTAAAAGGCCGGCAGCACACCTGCAATGCCGCTGGTGTTGTGGGTGATCATGGGCGGCGGTAGTCACTTACCATCAGGTGAGCCGCATGCTCGTTTGCCCCGTGTTGTAAAAAAAAAGTTGCCACGCTAAGCAGACGAATTGGCAAGCGCAGTTAGTCTTTGATGATATTTTAAGAGGAACGCTGCTGCCCATTCCTCGACCGTTAAATTTCCTTAGTTGCCTCTTACGACACCCACGGGAATGGCAGGGATGGCCCATTCTATTGCCGGAACCACACGGCGACATCTATATGCTATATTAACTATTTCCTATAAGATAATCCTTATGCTTGTTCAATATTACTACG